CTAAACACCTATTATGTTTCTGATACTGTACTGGCAGCAGCTGCTTCTTATAGTTTATGTCATAATTCTAACAACCCTATGAGATGTGGAGAAATCACATTTTAGAGCAAAGTGAGGCCCTGAGAGGATGATCTGTATGCTGAAAATAATACAGCTGAGAAACGGCAAGGCAAAATTCTAACTCCAGAGCCCAAACTCTTTCTACTGCACTACAGGGCCCTACGGGTAGTTTCTGTTTCAGGTTCCAGATGGCAACATCACATTACTCCTTAACTTCTCTATTCTGAGTTCACCAGTGCTATTCTATCTTTCTCCTATTCAGGTGTTAGCTGAAATTAAACTTAAAAACTGTTTCAACATGTTCATTGCATATTTCTTGTTGGTGGAACATCAGAAATGAAACTGGATTCCAATTAGATATCATGGCTATACTTTCAAGTCCTCAGTTTCCTTTTCACTGCTGCTTCTGCTGGCATTGCCATATACAGAGACTGTATCCATACCACTAAGCCTGAGGATACACCACTGCTCTTCATGCTCACCTTCCTAGAAACCCAAGCGGTCTGTTTTTAATTCAGAAACATCCAGGCCTTAAAAAAAGGGAATTCATGTTGCATGGGCTGACAGGTGCTTTCTTATCTTATACAATTAATTACCACAATTAAAGTTAAGACAAATTCCTGAACATCCAAAAATATAAAAACATATCTCTATGTAAGTGGCAGAATTGTTGTCTCTTTTGATATTACAGAAATTGCCATATTGTTGCAATTCAGAACTTAAAAAATTTTTAAAAGTCTGAGGTAATAGTCAACAACTTAAAGCATAGTGATTTCTAATAGGTGGAAAATGACGTAAAATACAGATTAATAGTAAAACCTTCTTGTAAAAGCATGAATAATTAGCTCAATTAGGCATTTTTTCTCCTCCACTACATTTTATGTTCTCATTCACAGAATGTTATGTTCTGTGATTAAGGCCTGGTGTGCCTCCAGCCCAACTCAGCATGTTTCCCCTGCTGTCCTAAAGTTGCCTCCCAATGCTCCTACCCTGGGTCTTCAAGGCTCCTGGCAGAAATTCTTCTCAGCTGAATGCATCTAGTCCTGCCTGGCTATAAAACAAGCCTCCCAGCTCTCTACGCAGCTTCAGGTAAGGCACTAAAGACCATATTCCGGCTCATGTAGGAATGCAGAGGTTTCTCTCTCCACCCATGTTTCAGAGAGTGGAGAATTTCAACAAAACCTCTGGTGTTCAACAATCGTTGTTACAAGACTTGGAATTTTCCTAGAAATCAAAGTCAGCCAGAGGCTCTGGATCCTGGATGACCTCATGGCAGGGACCTGCTAAGTTTCTACCAAATGATGACTCTTCAATGAAGCAACTTGGCCTCTACTTGCCTCTTGAGTTTCTTCTTGAGCCACTCTCTTCTTACTGAATTTCTTTCAGTTTCCTGAAAAAGCCATGTTTTTCTATCTCAAGGCTTTGGCACAAGCTGTTTCTTTTGTCTGAGGTGCCTGTTCCTCTGATCCCTTCCTTTGCCTAACTTACTTCAACTCATCTGTCAGGTTTTAGTGTAACAACCACCTCCTCTGGGCAGCTTTCCTTGACTCATCAGACTCAGTCGGGCCCCCCTATTTACATGTTTCCTTAGCACCGTGCACTTCTTTGTAACAACTGAAGGCTTATCATTATTTGCTCAATGTTTATTTTCCCTATTGTGCAGTAAATTCCACAAAGGCAAGGACCATGTCTGTCTTGTTTACTGTTATCCCTAACACCTAGGTCAGTGGCTGGCTCATAGAAGCATTTTATAAATACTGAACCCAATGGGCATTCTTAGATTCCAGTATCCTTGGTCTACAGGCTTACCATCTTGGGCTCTTTGCCTTTCCAAGACAACTTCTGTACAATTTCCATTTCCCTCACAAGTTGCCTAGGAACACTATGGAACTGGTTCATTGTTGTTAATATGACTTGATATTCTCTTTAGCATTCAAAACTCTCAGTCCACATTTTGTTGTTGAAGAGATCCAAAAGATTAAGAACAGATTCAAAGCATCCTTCTGCCTGCATCAAAATGTCATCCAACATCCTTGTGAAGTGGCCTATAGCAGGCAGCTGATTAGAACCTCCATGGAGGTAAAATTTCAGAGCTGCTATTTGGTCCCTGAAGCTGATGCTGTTCATTCTGATACTCCAATGGAAATCTCTGCAAGTGGTTATCTCTGGGTGATAGTATGATGGGTGATTTTTACAACTTTATTTTTCAATCTTTTTTTTTTATAGAATGTTTTCCATGATTGTGGAAGAAAGCTTTGTGTGTGTGTGTGTGTGTGTGTGTGTGTGTGTGTGTGTGAAGAAGATTAGCCCTGAGCTAACATATGATGCCAATCCTCCTCTTTTTGCTGAGGAAGACTGGCCCTGGGCTAACATCCGTGTCCATCTTCCTCTACTTTATACGAGAGGCCGCCACAGCATAGCTTGACAGGCAGTGCCTCGGTCCACGCCCGGGATCCAAACCTGTGAACCCTAGGCCACCGAAGTGGAGCGTGCAGTTAACCTCTACGCCACCAGGCCAGCCACAGCTTTTTTTTAAAGAAAGAAACACACTGCACTTGGATTTCTTCTTCAGTTACACAACAAGCCATACAGACAGATACACATTACCAAGTCTTTCTTACCCTAAATTTTCTGTACTGTGTTTGAGACTATCTCACCCTGCTTGTAGTAGTATCAGCCCTGGGCACGCTATCAGTGTTTCTGCTTTTCAGCAAGGCAAAAGGCAAGAAGTAAGAAGAAAGGGAAAATAATCATGGTGTAACTGTTAAAAACTGTTTACCAGTAGGCTGTTAAAAAAACATTCAAGAGTTATTAAAAAAATAGTCTTGAAAAATATTAATAGACGTTAATAAGACTGGCAGTTTTTGGCATCCTAGATACAATGTTCACTAAGCAAATTCTCATACCTAATAATTGATAGTGACTGCATCTAAACATTCCTATTCAAAGTTGAGAGACACAGCATATAGATAAGAAAGGTATTATTATATTTTTGTTTCATGTTCCACCTTGGAACAGTGGAACACCACTGCCTGGACAGAAAATAATTATGCAACAAAGATGAATTTGAGCAACCAGAAAATAAAAAGTCAGTTGTTTCAGCACCTGAAATTTAGTAGGAAACCACTCATTTTAGGTAAAGTTTTAACATCAAAGAAAGAGACACTCTCTCACCTACAATCCTAGCAAGAGAAATCTGGGGGCTTTGCAGACACGTAGAGTAGCAAGGATGAAAATTTCTCCCCGCCAAAAGCCATAAACTAAGCTACAAATACTAGTAATTACCATCCTACCATGCTATTTAGTATAAAATACTAAAGTAACCAAAAACATAATACATTAAGAATATGGGAAGTTAATTTTAAAACATTTACTCCAAAGATGACTTATTAAAGTTAACAGTGAGTTATATATAGTGTACCTTGACAATCAAAAAAGGCTCTAAGTTAGTGAAGTTCACTGAAGATATGCTATTAGTTCATGAATGTCTACGATTTAAAAAATAAAAGAACCATATGCATTCCAAGAAGGAGCTCCAGGCCCTGAACCTTCAAACTGAGTGACCTGATGAAACCTCGGAAGTCCCCTCAAGACTAGCGAAGTCTGAAGGGGTCCTCATCGACATCAACACTGCTAAACCTGCATCTAGTGAGAAAATTCTTCCCAGAAAGGAGTAAAAATGGAATGAATTGAATAGCAACCTTAGAATCCCCATTATAAGAACAAACCCCACATTCCACATAAATCAGAGGTAACATTCCTGTGACCATTAAACATTCCTGACTTTATAAGTAGGGAAACAGCCATATTTCCAGAGTTGGATATTTCTTCTTGTTTTCCCACTTCACACTGTATAATCTAACACGTCACATAGCCCTAGATGTTCTTAGCAGCTAAGGCAGTGACTGGTACCTGCAGGTGCATAGTGAATGTTGCATGAATAAGTAGGATGGATGGATGAATGAATGACTCTTATCGGGAAAGTGCACGGGGCTTGAGTGTCAGTGGTCTGGATGAAAAAGTGGTTACAAAAATAGAAGCTGTCTTTGGGCCAGGTGCTCATACAAAGGGAGTGGCCTACGCTTTGCCCAACACGGTTGGGGGCCAAAACATATATTAAGTTAAAGAAATAAAAGCCCTCTACCAAACAATGATCATCATGCACATTTAATTCTACAAGCTTAGAAGCACCAAGAGCTGCTAATGCCACCATTTAAAATAGTTACATTGTTGAATATATTCTACGGAAATAAAAACATTAAGAAACATCTAAAAGTTAGTTAGTTTGGTTGAAGAATCTAGTTGTCTCTATCTCTACCTGAACTAAAATTTCTAATAAACTATTCTGACCCATCATTTTCTTATAATAATAGACTCTCAAGTAGGAACAGATATGGAAATTGATGTCAGCTCACTTTTCAATTTTTTTCTTCCAAAGAAGTTCGTAAAAATTTTAAATCTGAACACTATATTCATTTTAAAACAAAAATCAGGTACTCTATAAATAATTAGCCAAAATAACTAAACTTTGATCAACTGAACGTCTTTAAAAACTCTCAGGAACAAGCACATAAAATTTGAGACTAAAAAAAAGAGTTTCATTACCAGTAAGTTCAAGTCATTAAAATGGCAAAGCTATCACTATCTGTTGGTAGCAGCTTAATACAAAATGGTATATATATCATCACATATTAAATGCATTTAAAAAGTAATTTAAATTATATAAAAACAGCAATTACAACACACACAGCCCTCAACCCTGACATGCTGCTCCTATTAATAAGAACTGGTATCTGTTAATCTTAGAGATAAGATTAATGCAGCAATATTACAGAAAGTGCTTCATGCTCCTTGGATAAAAAGTGATATGACTAATAACTCAAAATCTGAAAGTGGGGCAAGGAGGAGGCAGCAGGAGGGAGGAATAAGGAGAAACGTACCGTGCAAATATGAGGCCAGTGTTCAAACTGCTGTAAAATTCCTTGATTAAGTTCTTCTTTATATAACTCTTTGTAAAGATGTGGAAGCTTAGATATCCAAATGCCATTGTTATGCTTGTTTAGTATTTCTTTTATGCGGTTTTGAACCTCATCCATTTTATAAGTGTAAGAGGCAGGAGGCGTGATATTTGGTTTTTCAACAGTCTGATTTAAATTATCTTTAAATTAAAAAAATGATAGAATTAACCAAAATGCTTAACATTTTAGATTATCCCCATTACCTGGTATTTGTGTCTTTAGGTTTTGTTATACTTCAGGCTTGTGGGGGGTCAAGGGACTTAGAAGGAGCACGATTAGGCAAAGCAGGACCGTGACAGCTTCAGTCTAAGTTTTAACCCTGAAATACCCAGCAGGGTCAACAGCCACAGCAGAGGAAACCTAGCCCCTTTATTTTGCAAGGTGCTTCATAGTTTAATTTAAACATCAGGATGATCTTGCTTCGTAAAGAATAATGCAACTTATTATTTAAACAATCATTGTCTAACTGCTACAAAGAAAGGTTAAATTTTAGACAATAATGGCATATATGCAATGCTGAATTTGAAGCTATATTCCACAGAGCATAAAGAAAATGCCTCAATAGTAAGATCAAAGAACATTTTATACAAAATAAAAAATTGTCCAGGTTTTAAAATATAATCAATTTGCCCTTTATTAATGAGAAAAAATAATTTAACAATATACAGAAATTAAAAAATTGAACCACCTACTACAATCATCCTAGCCTCGGTTTATAAACATAAATAAAAGGTTTGGTGCTCAGAGATTAATGATTTGTTTTTATTTCCCCAATCCAAATCATTTATCTTTCATAAGCGAATATTGATAAAGTTTTGGCTAGCTCTCTTACTCATGTTTATTTTTCATTTAAAACTTAGAATGCCTGAGTTATCCTAAGACAATAAAGAAATGTGAGTGTCCATTATAGATGACAGTTGTTATTTTAAGAACTATGAAATTCATTCCAAATCTCTTCTAAATTTCAATGGGATACGGATCAGAGTACATTAAAAAGTACCATCTACAAGTAATATATGCCCATATTGTAATTAGATGGTATTTCTGCTGGGATTCAACAACTTTATTTTATTTTAAACTGGCTGGTAGAGACACACAGGCTGGTTTGGGGACGCTGGCCTCTGAGGATGCCAGGAAGCCAAAGGGTGAGCTTCCTTGAGGATGGCTGGATGCTGACTCTGCTTTACCCTCCACAGAGAATGAGACCTGGCCTTGCTAAGACTTAGTTTGGCTCAGAGAACAGAAGGGTCCAGGATGTCCATATATATTTCCTATTAAAGGCAACAGCTAATTTATTTAAGTTCTTCCCAAATAATGATATAAAAGGACCAGGCAGAAGGAAAAAACGAGTTTCTCAGAACTGGCCAGACCCCCCCTTAAAGAGCGTGTCAGCAGTAGATGCATAGTCTTTGCAAACACACCTGCTCCATGGGGCCACTGGAGTCACCTAAGCTTCTGTACCTTTTGTTAAACAAACAAAGGAAGTAATCTAGGCTGCCAGCAGGTAGGGGAGGTTGTGTATAAGTGTGTGCATATCAGCCGCCAGGTGAATCGCAATCCTCCCGAAACAAGTCCTCTTGGTTCTGCAGAAAAAGCTTATTCTAATTTAAAAGGATCTATGACCTCTTAAGGGTATACAACTTTACTGAGTAGTCACGTTTCAGAAATAGCGTATGTAAAAGTAATTAATATAAACAAAAATCATATTGTTTAATTTCCATAAGCAATACTGGAGATATGTTCTTACAGAAAAAATGATTTCAACTCAGTAAGAAGCACATTTAAAGCAGCAAATTATTTAAAATCACATTTAAATTTCATGCAACATAAGTACTAATTCTGAAAACACTGTATCCCTCAGTGGGTCTATGAGCAGGGGATTTACACTTTGGTTGGAGAGACAAGATGACGAGTGTGTGCATTTCTAATCTTCAGACTCCTTGACTTTATTATGTCTCCCGTTATTTTCTTAACAGCTCTTTGGGATTTTATAACCTGAGGAATCACTTGCATTCACACTTAGATGTTTCGTGGTCACTGCACAGTTTAGGGTCCCAGCTTTTAAATGCAGGAGTATCTGAACCTATTTTATGAGTTGAAGTCCCATATTTATGTACTTTAAATCCTACCCTCTAATGAGTGAGAAGGTGACAAGGGACACAAGTATCTCCGCAAGCGACACATGGAAATAAAACAGAATAGGTTTGGTGTGAGGAAGGCCTCAAGTCAGGATATAATAATGATATCCTTGGAGGTATTATTTTCTCTTTAGTCACTTCAATTCAAAATTTAAAGAAATTAGGAAAGAGAGGAGGAGAGAGATATTCCAAGTAGGAGAAGGTGATAGCAAATATCAAAAGTCACCAGCAGACATTTTTCTTAGGGTTCTGAGGCTCCAGAAGCCAAAATGTTATCATGAAGATAATGTTTAGAAAACATACCACTCATTTCCTTAGTACAGCTTCTTGAGAGATGCATCTGAAAAGGTGGTGGGAGGGACACCTTTGGGCTAAACCTAAGGTACAAAAAAAAAAAACTAAATTAAAATTCAAATAGCATGTGTGGTGATGGATTCTAATTAGTATTTGGGTGGTGAACATGATGCAATCTATGCAGAAAGAGAAGTAGGATGAAGTACACCTGAAATTTATACAATGTTATAAACCAATGTTACTGCAATAAAAAAAGAAATTAAAAAATTTCAAATAGCCAAGTCTATACCAAGTTTTAAACACCATACTTTTCATTTAAAGTCTTGGTGGCATTGAACAACAAAAGAAGTCATTAAAATATTTCAAAATGAGCAAAAATGAAAACGATACCTGGTATTAGCTTTCATGTTTCATATTCACCCAGAGAAAAGTGTATTAAAAGCTAAATTTAAACTAGGACTTTAAACAACTTGGAAGTCAGATTTCCAATTAATCACCTTTAAGGGACTAGCAACACAAAATAAAGAAAAGCATGCAAAGAATAAACAGTTGAACAGAAGGAAATTTTGGAACATAACTAAAAAATGAAGGACTTGCATCACTAGGTATTGAAATGTGTTATAAAGTTATAACATTAAAATAGTTGGACAGATAAGTAAAATGGTAGAGAGCTTAGAAACACTCAATTTACATTATATCTTAGCACATGATAAAAGTGGCATTTCAAATCAGAGGGGATTGCTCAAATAACTACTTAGAAAAGAAGAAACATAGATTCCTCACCTCACCCCCCCCACCAAAATAATTTTCATATGAATTATATTGGTTGTATGTAGGAAGATTTTTCCAATATGAGGACAAAGAAATAAAACACACACACACACACACACACACACACACACACACACAAAACCTTTGCGTTCATGCCTGTCTCCCTCACTAGACTCCAAGTATGTTAATTACCTGTGTTCCCAGTGCCTGGTACACGAAGGGAGAGTGAATGTTGTACGAATAAATAGGATGACTGAATGAATAAATGACTACGTCTTGCCTGGCAGTGGGTATGGGACAAGAGTGGGTGATAGTGACACAGTACACACATTTCCCAATTTTTGTATGGTACGGAATACTCTAAAAATTAGATCAATTCTTTAAAATGAAGCACATCTCATAATATTTTAATTCTAAAAGAAATGATTAGATTGTAGGCTACCAATAAAAGCTTACTTAGTGTATGATGCTATGCAATTATAAGGGCATCACATTTGTGTACAATGCATCTGGGAAATAACAGAAGATGCCGAAACATATCAACTCCTGTTTTCACTAAACTGACAGGGAGACAGCACTCCTTTCCCTTGCACCAGAGCCCTAAAACTGTAAACTGAAACCTTCCCCTGCTTTGAGGCAGCTTTGAGGGCTCTAGTAGAAGCAGAGGGTTATGAGCAAAGAGTGAAAGTACAGGGAGACTATGGCAGGGACAGCTATGGTTCAAGCACTGGTAGGTCTAACGGAAAGGAAAGAAAACCACTAACAGAGCAAGAGAAAGATATTCAAGGGAAAGCACAGGGACACAAAAAACAAATGTGATAATATGACAGAGGTCCAACCAATTTTATAACAGTAAGTATAAAAGATTTATTATTTTGTTTCTTAAAAGACAAATACTTAGACTGGTCCAAAAAAACCCCCAAATCTAAACACATGTCATTTATTAGAGACACACTCTTATCCCACAAACATTTATTTAAGGACCTACTATGCGTCAGGCACCGTGTCCAACAGTAATGATCAATGACAAGCTAGAAACATACCCCTACTCTCATGGACTATACATATAGTCGAGAAAACTGACTGTGGTAAGCAGCTATTAGATGGCCCCCAAAGATTCTTGCCTCCTGATAGTCACAGTCTGTGTAATGCTCTCCCCTTGAGTAACTTGCTTCTAACCAATAGAATACTTCAAGGTTGAGGGGATTACAAATAATTAGATTACAAAAGACTCTAATTTCCACTTTTTTAGCATAATCTCTCCCTTGCTGGCTTTGATGAAGCAAGTGGCCATGTTGGGGAGGCCTATGTGGCAAGAAACTGAAGGTGGTCTTTGGCCAACAGCCAGACAGAACTAAGGAACAACTCAAAAGGAAGTGAAGCAGAGGACCTAGCTAGGTGTTGCCTAGATTCCTGACCCACAGAAATCAGGAGATGATAAATATGTGTTGTAAGCGGCGAAATTTATGGTAATCTGTTACACAGCAATAGATAATGAATGCACCCACAAAATCTCTGTGTAAGAACAAAGTCTACCAAGTGCTATGATAGCGGCAGTAGGTGCAATAACAGCACTGACAGAACCAGCAAACCAAACTAGGAAGTAGAGAGAGGAGGAAGGAGAGAGTAGAGAGAGGAGGAAGGAGAGAGTAGAGGTTATCAACACTTATTATAAAGTTCTAATAATCTGAATAGGTTGGCTCTGCAAAAGAACAGACAGGTAATCAACGATTCCCAATGGAAAGCCCAGAAACTGAGTCAAATATTTATAAACAACTTCGTATGGGTAAATACAGCATTTCAAACCAGCAGAGAAAGAAGGATTATGTAATAACTGATATTAGGACATCTGGCTAACAAGAAGATTCCTACTATCACATTGCACGACAAAATAAATTCTGGATGAATTAAAGATTAAATGTAAAAAATGAAACCATAAAAATTCTAAAAGAGAACAGAAGACATATTATATAATATTGAGGTAGAAATGCTTTTCTAAGCATAAGACCTAAAGGCAGAAGCCAGAAAGGAAGAGATTGATAGATGTAACTATATAAAATTTTAAAGCTTTTGTACACCAAAAATACCACAATTAAACTGAGGAAATACTGCCAACATATTATAGACAAAGAGTCAACATCCTTAATTTATAAATCACTTTTACAAATTAGGAAGAAAAAATACAACAGAAAAATTGCGCAAAGGACAAAGACGTAATTTATAAAAGAACTATAAATGGGCTAAAAAACATGACAAAAATATAACTTCCATAAGAATCAAAATGAAAGAAATAGAAATTAAAACACAGGTACATTTTTTCACCTTTTGGAGTACCAAATAAAAAACTGATGCCCAATGTTAGCACAGGTACAAGAAAACGATCACTCTCATATGCTTCTAGAAGATTATAATTGGTATAACCTGTTTAGAGCACAAATTTGTAATAGTCTTAGTGTGTATACCCTTTTACCCAGATATTCTATTTCTACCAATATATTCTAAGGAACTAGTTATCAATATATATAAGGATTGTTCTACAAATACGTTCATTGTAGAATTGCTTACAATAGTGGCAATCATTTATATTCAACAATAGGTGATTGGACAATGGACTACCCTGACATTCAAAATGATAATGTTATTTCTATTTTTAGTTTTTTGAGAAATGTCATACTGTTTTCCATAGTGGCTGCACCAGTTTGCAATCCCACGAGCAGTGTGTGAGGGTTCCCTTTTCTCCACATCTTCTCAATCATTTGTTATTTCTTGTCTTGTTAATTATAGTCATTCTGATGGGTATAAGGTGACATTTCATTGTAGTTTTGATTTGCACTTCCCTAATAATTAGTGATGTTGAATATATTTTCATGTGCCTGTTGGCCATCTATATATCTTCTTTGGAAAAATGTCTGTTCATATCCTCTGCCCAGTTTTTGATCAGGTTGTTCTTTTTTTGTTGTTGAGTTGTATGAGTTCTTTACATATTTTGGAAATTAACCCCTTGTTGGATATATGATTTGCAAATATTTTCTCCCAGTTGGTGGGTTGTCTTTTCATTTTGTTCCTGGTTTCCTTTGCCTTGCAGAAGCTTTTTAGTCTGATGTAGTCCCATTTGTTTATTTTTTCTTTTGTTTCCTTTGCCTGAGTAAACACGGTATTCCATATGATCCAGATATCCCACTACTGGGTATTTATCCAAAGAACATGAAATCAACAATTCAAAGAGATTTATGCATCCCTATGTTCTAGTCACAATGGCCAAGACATGGAAGCAACCCAAGCACCCATCAATAGATGAATGGATAAAAAAGATGTGGTGTATATATATAATGGAATACTATTTAGCCATAAATAAATACAAAATCGTGCCATTTGCAACAACATGGATGGACCTTGAGGGTATTATGCTAAACAAAATAATCCAGACAGAGAAAGACAAAAACCATATGATTTCACTCATATGTGGAAGATAAACATATGGATAAGGAGAACAGATTAGTGTTTACCAGAGGGGGAGGGGGTGAGGGGAGGGTAAAAGGGGTAAAGGGGCACGTGTATGGTGATGGGTAGAAACTAGACTATTAGTGGTGAACACGATCCAGTCTACACAGAAACTGAAATATAATAATGTACACCTGAAATTTACACAATGTTATAAGCCAATATGACTTCAGTAAAATAATTTTTAAAAAAATGATAGAGCCAGCCCTGATGGCCTAGGGGTTAAAGTTCTGCTCGCTCCGCTTCGGCAGCCCAGGTTCAGTTCTTGGGCACAGAATCACACCACTCATCTGTCACTAGCCGTGCTGTGGCAGCAGCTCACATAGAAGAATTAGAAGGACTACAACTAGAATATACAACTATGTACCGGGGCTTTGGGGAGAAAAAAAAAGAGAGAGGAAGATTGGCAACAGATGTCAGCTCAGGGGGAAACTTTCAAAAAAAAAGATAATGTAGAAGTATACTTAATGATATGGAAAACATTCACAATATATCGCCTTTTAAACAGATTATAAAATAGTGACATATAGCATGACCCAATTTGTATTTTAAAAAACTTATATATACATAAATAAAAATAATGGATATTTTAAAATGTTTACATTTATGTCTAGACTAGAGGTGTTTTTCTTTTACTTCCTTTTACTTTTACTTTGCAAATTTTCTATACAGTACAAATAGTACTGTTGTAATCAGAACAAATCAATAAATATATTTTAGAAAGTGCTTCCTACAAATATTTAGTACATGTTTTAATCACATAAAAACTCAGAAATCAACAATAAATTGACATTCATTTACTTATCTTAAT